CGAACAAAGAGAGGTGTGTCTGCAACCGCAGCTATTCCACCTGGAGACAACTGGAAGAATTACTCTTGCAAATAACGTTCCATAAGATCCGATAAAACTATTTCGCCGGAGTCATATTTCTCTTTAGAAGGAAGGTCTTATTTCATAAGACAATATCATCATTGACTTTGACTCCGGCAGCGATGGGAACATAAGCCGTTGGGAGGCGAAGAACTGGGCGACGACGAAGCGAAAAAGCATTTCCCTGCCAAGCAGGAACCGGGGCCCTGGGCTGGTCCCCACGGATAAAAAAATACCTTACCCAGAGCAGGGAGCTGAGCTCCCTCGGCTTCGGCGGGCTGGAGTTGGAGCTGTCATCGGCAGAGCCCGCCTGGACTCCGGCTTGAGCAGGAAATCATTTGAAACCTTTCTGGTTATGTATTTCTGTTAATGATTGGGGATCTCAAGTGGGGTTTTTGTGTTACCTTTGCCTCGCTGAGCTTTACTTCCCCGTGAAGGGAACAAGGGCTGAATTCCTTTCTCATTCAGGCAGCTCGGCTCCCACTCCGTGTTTGCTCGGCGAAGGGCTCAGGTTTAGAAAACACCGCGAGGGACAGAAGGGACACCGGGAGGGACAGATCCTTCCCCCGCGCCAGTGCAGAGGGGTCCCCGCCGCCCCACGCTTGGGCTGGCCGGGCTGACCGAGGGAGCGTGTGACTTCGGGCAGATCAGATGTGCTCGAAGCAGTCACGCCGTGGTGACAAGATCCGTATCTCATGAGCAGCTTCACCCCCGCCTCCTCGCTCCTTGCTGTTATCAGAGCCCTCTCAATGGGTAAAACACGGGGTTTTCTGGCCCGGAGAGTACTGGAGTCGCCATCTCTTGCCCCCAGTTCCCCGTTCGCACTGGCTGCTCCACCGTTGGGTTTTGGAGCGTGCCCCGCTGTGCTGGAAATGGCATGCCGGGGAAGATGCAAATGCTCCCCCTCCCCTGCCACGCTTCCCAAGAACTTTAAACCCAAATCTGGGATGAAGGGTGAGAGCAGCCGGCTGGCAGTGCAGCATCTCGGCGGGTTTCAGGGGGGTTTGTGTCCCGAAGCAGCGACGGGGCAGCGATGCCGGTCAGGGGGGTCTGCGGGGATACTGGTGCTGCCCGTGCCGCTCTCACGCCCCCCCCAGCTATAGCAGGGACCGAAACGAGGGATGCAGGAGGAGATGGAGCTGGGTTGCCACGTGGCTGCGAGATACCCCGTTAGCCCCTTGATATTTACGGCACTTTGCGGGGTTCCTGGGGCTCAGCTCCCTCTCGGAGCCCCCTCAGCACCTCCGAGGCTGTGGGTTGCCGCGGCTGGGGGCGGCGAAGCTTCGGTGCCGGCGGTGGCCGCGTTCGCTAGGCAGGTGCTGGCATAGAGGGTGTCTGTTTTGGGAGCGGAGGGGGGAAGTGTCTCGCTGTAACTGGGGCAGTCGCAGGCTCCAGCCTCTCCTTTTCTTGCAGGGGGGAAACATAAACGCGCTTCGCTGGGAAAGCTGTCGTGTGTGGCTGCGGAGGAGCCCCCTGCGTCGCTGGGGGAGGGGGCTGAGCGGCACGGAGGTGTCCCTGCACCCTGTTTTGGAGCGGATGAGAGGGGATTGACGTCCCAGGGAGGCCCGGGGAGGTGCTGGGCAGCGGGAGGAAGCCCTGTCCTGGGCTGGAGATGCCCATGGCCAACCCGACTCCTGCAGCCCGGGGGAAAAAACATCTCCCTGAGTCACTGGGCAGAGACCTTTGACTCTATTGCCCTTGTGACCATGTCCGTGT